CTCACACTGCGTTACATGGTCACCCTAATAATGTTTTGGCGGATTAAATATTCATTTTCCTCGAGACTCCTGTTACGTCATCTATGAGCAGGTATTTGCTTCTTAAAAGGGGCTTTGGTCCAGCGAATTATTGGGTACGTCGTAGTTTGTGCAGTTGGTGATTCTGCTCTGAAACGGTGTGTGGTATTTTAATTTGCAGATCAAGACGAATGCAAATTCGACACAGCCTCCGATACCACCGCCAGCCCAGCAGACACAGCAGCAACTCTCACCAGGAGCCAACGTCCCGCCTCCAACGCAGATCAACAAGATCAAATACCCAGGCCCGCCTCACATTAAGAAGGACAAGCGACAGACCTCGTCTAGATTCAATATCAGCAAAAATCGCGAACTCCAAAAACTGCCTCTTCTTAAAGGTAAGTCCATCTAAATGCGAGGTTGTGTTTCTGTCGGTGATGATCGTCAGGATTGTGACATCGCGTGGACTAGAATGTAAATACAGGTAGACCTCGATTTACGCCGGTCCAATTTGCGCCGATTCAGAATAACGCCGATTTTGAAAACCAGAAAGTTAAAAAAGTGGGAAAAATATTATTTATAACGTTTTACGAAGTATCTCGTACTGATTCTTATATTAAATAGTAATTCTTACAGCGCTGATTTTGAATAAAAATTATAAATACGGTCATCTCTGCAATTACGTATTTTTCGTTAACGCGAATTTGCTCCAATGAGATCGATGATTCGGTAAAAGTTGTTTGTGAAATGCAAACTTTTTCATATGCGAGTTTGCTCTTATGCAATTTCATTCCTGACGCTTTAAACTTTCAAATGACTAATTTAATCTCTGTGGAGGTACCGGGGTTAATTTTACTACGCGATTTTCGCATAACAGCAGAGATGACTGTACACATCAATCACACGAAAGAATCGCAGTCAATGGCGGGGACCAACGAATTGCCGACTGTAAGTGTATAAAATATATTTTTGAAATTTATTTTATGTACGTTATTTCAGAACTTTAAATGTAATGCCATTATATTACTCGTCAATGTTTTGGGTGCTGGGAACGCATGTCATTGATTTACATTATAAAAGAGTTTCAATTTACGCCGGTTCGTCCAGGAACACATCCCCGGCGTAAATCGAGGGCTACCTGTACTGTATTTTCTGGTGAACATATTGCCTCAATCTCCGAAAATAGAGGCAGTATTTTCCTTCGAGAAATTAGTATTCATCCACAAGTCCAACCCAGTAGACCATTGTCGAAACGGTTATCTGTTCGTATCGAAATGCTTTCGATATATATCGATAGTGAAATCGATGCAAAATTGAAACAGAAATTGCTCATTGGGTAAGCGGAAGAAATAATACTCTTGCGGGCGTTTACTTAAATTTTGTATTCATTAAACTTTGGTCTGATATGGAAACTACTGTACTCAGTGGTGATTTTTGTATGTGGTGTGGATCATGGATCAGTGACTCGTGATTTGAATCATAAATACGTGGGCCGTGATCAGATTTTTTTATCTCCTCTCCAGATCTGTAGGCCTCTAATCACGTATGCTAAGTGGTAAACCCCAGCTCCCAGCGTAATGTGTGTGCAAGTTTTAGTTGTACACGGCTTCTTCGATTTAAGGGGCCTCTGCGTTAGGTCTGACAACCATTCTGGATTTATCATGACGTAACCGATTTTATGTTACGTGAGAAGATGTAAGTTACGATAACAAATATTGGCTTTCGAGACTAACTAACTAACCAACCAGATGGCTTACGGAACCCGAAGGTTCGTCACCGAATTAACCAAAGCCCTCCACCGGACCCTGTCCTGGGCCAACAAAATCCAGTCTCCTTCAACTCCTATCTCCGATAGATCCAGCCTGAGATTATCCTCCCATCTACGTCTAGGTCTCCCCAGAGGTCTCTTCCCCTCAGGCTTCCCAAATAGTGGACCCAACCAACCAGATGGCTTACGGAACCCGAAGGTTCATCACCGAATTAACCAAAGCCCTCCACCGGACCCTGTCCTGGGCCA